AATCTGCTCTATTTCATTCATGAGTTGCATCATCAGGACACATATGTACTTATGCTTGAAAGGTGCATATTTTGAAACTTACTCAGTTTCAAACTGAGAACATTTCAATCCAGTATGACCTTATTGAGTGGATAGTTTTGCCGTATTCGTGTGAAGAGAACACCAGGCAACCTAAGAATTCCAAGAAAACTGGAATGCAAATGAAGACAAACAGAATGCATTTGGAAAAGCACCGAAACTGATGTTAACTAGACGACGAGCAACGAGTTACATGTATCAGTTAAGGTTCATACTGTAATAACGCCGATTTCTACAACGATCCATCAACGGGCTATTGGGGTTGGATGTTTGTGATGTCGAAAGCACCTGAACTTGGCGACACGCTCTTTTTGGTACTGCGTAAAAGACCGGTTATTTTTATGCATTGGTATCATCATGCGCTAACGTTCCTCTACGCACAAGTTACATACTCAGAAAAACAAGCATGGTGTCGATGGAGTTTAGCGCTCAACCTATCTGTCCATACCATTATGTACTTGTAAGTTGTTTTTTGTTGTTGTTTCGTGGCGATCATGATGATACATGTCAAAATCATAGCAGTCAGTTGAAAGGATGATTGCGAGAACAATGTAACGATGTTTAAAGTGTTCATTGCTGGGCAAACATTAAATATTGTTTCAACGACTTTCAGCTCACAATCAGTGAACAGTGCAAAGCATAAGCTTATGCAAAACATTGCAAATAATCCTTAATTTATCCTTAAATTTGCAGTTATTTCGCCATTCGCGCACTTCACTTCAAAACACCACGTGCCATTGCACAGTTCATAACAACGATACAAATTGTACAATTCGTCATTAATTGCTACATTTTCGCTCATTTGTTCTACATCAAGTACACCGATTCAATACCGGAGTGTCAAGTGGCGTAAGTTTTGTTGCAAACCTCATTGCAAAATATTCTCATTGATCAATCATTGCTACTTTTTGACTGAACCATATGATGACTTCATGAGGCTTATCCTTATTCAAGCACTTTCAAGAAATTCGTTGAAACTGCAGAATATAATGCATATGGCAAACATTCGAATAGTTCCTTCTGAACTATATTTTAAAATATATC